TGATTTGAGTGTATATTTACTATAAATGTATTATGATTGTCCTTGTATTGTATGTGTGTACATGACTTATGCATTGGATGTTTTATAAATGATATGTATATGAATGTGTTAAGCATTTTATGTATGTACATGTATTGTGTTCCTTTCTATTATGCTTAATGTATGTACAGCAGGGTTGTTGTAATTATTTACAGTCATTAATCATTATGATTACAATTGCTTGATGATAGGCAAAGTAATGATTAAAATTAGAATAAGCTTAAACTATTGAGTAAATCAATCATTAAAATTACAATTACTTTGCATGATTTGTAATTAAATTAGTAATTTAATTAGTTAGCATCGAGTTTATTATACATTTTTTAAAAACGAAGTTTTTTGGAGTCAGACGAGAACGGTCAGGCCTCAATATTGCCACCATGACTGAAAACGCGCTCAATGGGAGCTGACGTTGCAGGAACTCCATGGACTTTTCTAGCAACTTTACTCAAAATTTGATACTTTGCTCCGTTGTTATTCCCAAAATTTAGTGGATTTTCATTATTTGCAAAGTTTTATTTAACTAAAAAATCTTAAACTTCAATGCCGTCTGGTGTAGATTTGTCTCCTGATGCTGATGCAGTATCATTCATAAAGCCAAAGAGCTTCATTTTTTTGGTTGGAAGTTCAGTGGTTTTATTGATATCAGAAACTGAACTAGCTAAATGCGTTTCATCACTCTGGTGTAAGCTCATCTCTGTCCTTATCATAGTTAGCACGTTATTTTTGTCATCCTTTGACTTGCACCAGTTTTGCTTAAATGATGGGTCTAATGCAGCTGAAATGCAATATAGTGGCTCATTCAAAATTTATCCTAAACGATTTTCCAAACTATCAAGAAGGCAATGCATTATTGTGATGTTGCATTTCCTTGTCTTTGCTTTTTTAAATTTTCCTTGATGCCCAAAAAAGAAGGAAGTGCCATACTAATGGTGCAATAGTGCTCTCCTTGTAAAGTATCTGTGGCAATTTCAAAAGGCTCAAAATTAAGAACAAAACTTTGAGAAACAGCCTTCTCATGAGTTGGTAGCATCAGCTCTCTTTTTTCAATTACACCCTCAAAGTCAAGAACTATAACCCTGCGTACCATTTTTAACTGAGAATTCTACCATGCCACCTTGCAATTGACCAATCAGATTGCAGTATCAGAGGTCAATTATTTTTCATATCCTATTTTGTTAAATAATTAATTGATTGGCAGTTTGGTAGTCTACGCTTATGCTCTTATTAGTCCACTTGTCAAGTTTGGTTGATTTTTTACTGGCCTAGCCTGTTAGTTATGTTGTATGTATGTCAACTGTGGTCTTATTATCTGCAGCTGGTAGTTGTTTTTTAAGTGTCATGGTAGAAGTTGGTTATACACCTCGGTATCGGTTTCTATGGTATTTATTAACATCGCAACTACGTCAGTCGGTTAATAGATACCATAGAAACCTCTACCTCGGTGTATAACCTATACTTCCACCTTGTATCATTCTATAAAATGACACCTGCAGCATTTTTTTCTTCAAGCTTCTCCACAGCACTTGTAGATCTCCTAATGTGGCTAACAAGTCTGCTCACTTTTGCTAGGATTGACACAACTTGCTTAGAGCTATCAATACCATCTTTAACTGTCAATTGCAAAGTCTGGGCAAAACATTTAAATTCTGTCTGTATTGCTACACATACCAGGCATAATATTGTCATCATCATTGACTGATACATCTAGTACATCATCATCTAATGTGTGTTCCAGTTCTAGCAGATCTTCATTGTCATTATCATCATCTTGGTTGTCTACATTCAGTTCTTGTGTCAGTTTAAAAGCTTTCACCACATTAGAGCCATTATCTGTGACTGCTTTATAGACTTTTCCTTCAATATCATACTCCTCAAGAAGGCTTTCATATTCCAGATGGATCTTTTCACCAGTGTGGCTGCCTTTAATCTGCTTACAGCAAAGTAGGTAGGACTGCATTATCCATTCATATCTGACAAAATGCACTGTTGCAGCAAAATAGCCATGCATGCGCCTACTTGTCCAAAGGTCCAATGTTACGGAAAAAGTGATGACTGATTCAACTTTCTGAGGAATAAGCTTGTACTGCAGATGTTGTCGGCTAACGATTGTGTACTTTGGATCAAGTAGATGGATCAAATTGCGAAATCCATTTTTTTCAATCACATGAGGCGAAATCAAATCTTGAACGAACATCCTCATAATGGCCACTGTGATGCTTTTCTGACGAGGATGGTTTTTGCCATACCTACCATGATCTGTACTAGTACTAGTAGATGCAGGAGATGGCTTAAAATTAGACAATGATGTTTGAATTGTTGAAGAGCTGCTTGTGCTAGTGTGGCTTATAGCAGGAATGGTGGTTTTACTCTTCTTAGCTTTTTCCATAACAAATTCTTGATAAGCAGATAAGTGGTGCTAAAGTATTGTAAATGTCTTAAACAGTAATGACTGTGGCTTTACTTTTAAATGACTGACAAAATTTGATGGTATTCCTGTCTGGCCTTTAATTTCTTTCTTACAAACCTTACACTTCTCTTTCACTCTTTTTTCATCTTTAGTACAATCTTCATAAAATATGAATATTAACTGGCTAGAGGCTGTTTGAGAATCATGTAAGTAAGAACTCTCTGTCATCTTCAAGCATGTGCTATGAGATTCAGCTGTTTGTGATTATTGATAATCAGTGAAGTGATAAAATGTATGTCTCACTTCCATCACGTCACATGCATGAATACACAATGTGTAAATGTGAGAAGAGACTGTGATCAGATCACTGTTTACTCTTTAAGTTACTTTTTCATAGGCTCCTGGTACATGTACAGTAAATTTACAATGATTACCTATTAAATTACTTGTTGTTTTATTGATTACAAATAGAATTACAATTAGATAGCTTAATCCTTATAATTAAAATTACAATTAGTATTAGTTGATATTTGCTAATGATTGCTAATTTCTAATGATTAAAATTAGAATTGCAACAACCCTCATGTACAGTCTTGTATGCATTGTGTGTATATATACACTGCATGGATAAATTTGTGCTTCTCTTTCTCTTAGTCAGACAAAATCTCGCTCTTTGGAGTGATGATAAGATCATTATAATCATGCTCTTTGGAGTGATGATAAGATCAGTAAAATGTTGCTTTTCAAAGTTATGACAAGATCAATGTAATCACACTCTTTGGAGTATTGATAACATTCATAATAATTATGTATGATAATTATGTGTTGTTTGTGTATATTTGTGTTATGTGTTATTACATACGAAGGTCTAAATGTGCACGTATACAAATCATTATAAATAATAGTTTAATAATTATAGTCAATAATTATGACGCTTGGAATGATATATGTGAGTGATAAGCATATGGTGCATGGTGAAAGCAATCTTAGAAATTTTTTTACACCAATACGCTTGTTTCTGCTACACTACATTTATCTACCTTGAATCAATGCTAAGTTAAATTCATGTCAAGTTTTCAGTTGCATATGGAAGAAAACATCTTCAGTCCTACTGTGGGTACTTGGCATGCTATGAGGTTCAAGGGTTGCTTTTGATGTGTTGCAGCCATGATTGAAAAAATGTTTGTGAAATTAAATTTTTTTGTAGCTATTTTACATTGCATGAATTATAGGAGCATGATGATTGGTCGGCAGTAACTATGACAAAGAATTTGGTATATCAGTTGCACGGAGTTGAAACCATCTTCAACTGCATGACTTAGCTGTTTTAAAGAACCTTGCTGATCTGCTGGATGATTGTGATGATAAATTTAATTTGCTACTCAAGGAATTCATTACACTATGCAAAAATTGACATTTTATATGAAATTATTAATCTTCATTATTCTTTAAATAGTTACATTCATTCTAAGGCTGTAACTTTAATTTTGTGCATGCAAAGTAAGTCGTAACCTTCACATGCACAAGCCACATTGCCAAATATGGACATCTTTTGTTGGTAGAGGCATTAGGTTCCGTTCTTCTATCCCTTCATTAATCATACCCTTATTCATACTGGAAGCAGGCACTGCTGCCTCTATTCAAGACAGAAAAGCAGGCATCCTTCACCTTTCCATCTGGCCATGGATGTAAAATTTATGGCAAAATGGTGTCTATGAAGCTCAATGAAGCCAATGAAACTTTGCTTTAAGTTACGAATGTGGGAAATGCTAGTAAGGTCTCAAGGGAAAAACTCGCTTTCGATTTTTTGTCGAGCCCGTCTTTAACGCCCCAACAATGATCGAACCACTATGGGCTCTTGAACCAGCAATGTCTGCATTATTTCAACCACAGTCTTGTTTATCTTGCTCAGTTACAGGTATTAATGGTGCAGGCTACATGTAGGGTTAAGGTTGATTTTACAAAATGACAACCAAATTTATAATATTCAAATGATTATAACTCTTCTAAGATTGTGCAGGCTTATAATTGGTTTAGATGAGTTCTCCTTCATTGAGCAATTCTCCTGGTACCATAAAATTGTTGTGTGATCAATTCTGGAGAATAGGTTTATACTCAAATCTATTCAGACTTTATCTTTTATAGGCGGCTGCATGGTTGGGCATTGTTGGGCAAAGCCCAACTAAAAATTTTAACCGGAGATAAAAATTTAATTTATGACATCATTTTTAGTCATAAAAAAGGACCATGGCTAGTAAGAGACAGTCTCTCTTGTTTTCCTTTGTCAATAAACCATCCAGGAGGACCAGGACTAGCAACTTACAGGTAAAATAGAGCTTAAAAGATAAGGTAGGGCGACTTTGAGGCATATTTTCATGGTATATCATAAAGTATGCGTGCGTTGAATACACACCAAAATTACGTGGAAACAAGTGGGTGCGGCCAAAATCATATTGCACTTCCTGTGCTATTTTTGCTACACAATGTTACTGCAAACCCTGCCACACCGCCTATGTCATCTTATTTTAACACAAATCTTTAAAGCTAGAAGCCTCTTGTGATGGCTTTCACAATAAATAAATTGAAATTGTATTTTTAAATTTGAGTGTAACTAAAGATGTAGCTGCTAAGTATTAGCCAGTGAAGTTCCTTCAGTCAGCTGCTTCGGAAGTACTGTGTTGCATTCTTCCTGGTGCTACTATATATTGAGTTAAGTGTTATACCATAAATAATATGTAGTAGTAGAGTTTGTGATTATAATCATTTGCATCCTGCGTACTTGGTGTTATGGTACATGTACTTATTCTGGTTCGAATTTAAGAAGTCATTTTGGTTTTGACATTGGTACAAAAAGTAAAAAGAAGAGACAGCAACATAACTGGGAATGAAACTAATAATGCAAAAAGTATCCAAATAGAAAGCAAACAGATTTTATTGATAAGAATAGATCAGCATACTATATAAGTCTGTGTACATGGTCCAAAGGAAAGCAAGAATTGCTTATAAAATTAAGAAAAGATATAAGGTAGCTTACTGAAAGTAGTCTCATGCATTTGACCCTATGCATACATTGCAGAATTTTAAAAATTGGTACAACAAAAACAAGAATAGCAAAACTTAAGACTCAAGTTGCTATTGACCCAGACCATAAAAAAGAAGCCTCTAGCAAGCATAATTGAAATTATCTACAACCAAAGAAAGAAGCCTCTAGAGATCAATGTCAAATGAATCCACAACCAAAGAGAGAATCCTTTTGAGATGAACATTCACAACCAAAGAAAGAAGCCTGTGAAATAGTGAATTCACTGAATTGTGGTATGTAGCTATCTTCATCATATAATGTACCCATCATAGCAATTTTTTAAATAACATTTTCTTTGAAAGAATAAGAGAGAGACAGAGATAGATATACAGTGAAATTATAATAATAAATTTATAATAATTGTGACCATAATTGACAAAAGGTACCTTATGGCGGATAGTGAAATTTGTCTTTCTAGCCTAAGAAATCCAACTTCCTGAGCCCCATTTATCATAAAATTACTCCACAGGATGCAAAAAGTTACGATGAAACTTTTAGAAACAATGATTGTCTAACAAAGCACTCACAGGTTGATATTTTCCATTATAACGATCAATTTTAAAATCCGCCATAAGGGCCCTTTTGTCAATTATGGTCACAATTAAATAAATAATTTCGTTGGTAATTTATTATGTGACCATTGGACAGTGCAACGGATGGTTGATCATGATATTGAGAATGACAATTTGCATTAAATGAAGTTGATAAGTGGACTAAATGGTTTGTTTTGTTTTTCAGTAGTGATTAGAGTAATGCATCTGAATACAGCGTCTGATATTGGGGCCAAGCCTCCATTGGTGGTAAATACAAGTGGTGAAAAGCAGCCGTGTTCAACATTACGAATACGAGCATCATACTTTCTCTTCTTCCAATTTTCTACTTTCTTATAAACTGCTGGTAGAGTGAGGCCTTTATATGATTCAGAGAAGGGATTAAGAACTGTGACGTCAAAGAATGCTCTTTGATGAGATCTCCCCCAGAAACAATCAACTGCAATGTCTGCACGAGCTTCATCACCATCCACAGTAGACTCTGTGATTGATTCTCCTGAGAGTGGTTGTAAAGGAGGCTCATGAGAAACATTGCTACAGACATCTTCAAGTAGGGAGGCAGTAAGATCTCTCAGCTCATTATGTCTTAGTGTGAGTAACCCACCCACAGGACAATGTAGAGCGTGGTCCACTGTGAAGGTTGAGTCACAAACACAGGAAGATGGTAAGTCCTGTAGCTGCCAACCTTATCAGATACAAACAGAATCTCTAAATGAGCCTTTGTGCATATCAAAGCCATGATCAGCCTGTGGTAGTGCTGAAAGCCAAGCTGAAGCACCTCTCTCACAAGCAACATCTATCAGTCTCTTCCTATCAGTATCCAGGCATTCCCTTACATAGGCGGCTGCAGGGGCAGGCAATGATGGCAATGTCCTACTAGAATTTCTTACCGGAAGATGACATCATCATAATTAGCAGTTAATTAATAGTTATTTAGTAGTTATGATATGATTAATTATAATTATAGCTAATTTTAATAATAAAAACTACATTATTTTGCTCCATAAAGTGATAATTAGTGGAGATTAAGCTGCTAACTGCATGGTTTATTCACAGTAAGCTTCATAGGTCCATATCTGTGGCCACTTCAGGAACTCATAATCTACAGTAACCTGCAGCTAGAATAACTGACTCCTCCATGTAGTAGCTTCATTATTAATCATCATAGTCAGTTAGGACTCATTGAACAGCTAAATCACTAAAGCTACTGATACTCTATGTTAATAGAGGTCTTTTAGGTGCTGAATTTTCTCCTTTTGAACATAAGAATGGCAGGGTAACTCTTCATTGAGTAGTTCAGAGCCTTTTTAAACTGGATTTTTCCCCAAAATGCTGAAATGGAAGTCATAACAGGCTTAAACTCAAGAGCAAGGCATGTGGGTGTGGTCAGAGCCACACCATAGATATTAGAGTAAATGAAACTCGAAAAAAAAAAACTTTCATTTACTCTATTATCTATGGCCACACCTACTTTTTTGACCACTCCTACTTTTAGCCACACCTTTGCCCTACTTGCAGTAAAATCCTGCAGCCGCCTATGTTGCCTTACTCGCATTAACTCTTCCTTTGAATCATTTCTTTCTCTTTGTATAGTA